GGCCTGGAGAGGTCACAGGCCCAGAGCTGTGCCCAGGAGCATTTGTTGAGTGACAAATGAGGTGGTGGTCTTGCTAGATTTGGGGTGCTCAGCCCCCTGGAGCACTAGAGCATCACTACAGAGGACAGAGACGAATCAGCAGGTCCCCAGAAGACCCACCCCACCAGAAACCAGGACAACATTGGTGTGTGGCAGGACCAGGGCTCAGATCAGTCTCCCTGTGGGCTGTGGTGTCTCTAACTGACCACACTGCCCTGAGGTCCAGCGACTTCCCTGGGGGATGACTGAGGCCCGGAGCGTTCCTCCCAGGGCAGCGGGGAATGTGGTTTGCGTTACTGTGGCTTCAGCCATGGAAGGGGCTCCTTGAGTCAGGCAGGAAGCAGAACGTATCAGATTTAGATTCCACATTCCACGCATTGTATACAATTACCCACTGGAGCCACACAGGGGCACGTGGGACGGAAAATGGGGTTGCCTCGGTAGAGGAACGTGTGATGCTGGAGGTGGGAAGGTGAGCAGAACTGCAGGACCATCCAGACTGGGGACAGTGGTGGCACGAATCAGGGTGGGGGCCCCCAGCTGGAGAAGAGGGCACAGGTGAGGGAGAGACTAAGGAGCTGGAACTGGATGAGACGGAATCGAGTGCGTATGGGCGGAAGGAATGAGGCAGAAAATGGGATTGCTCTAGGGGACGGGGTCACTCTTTCAAGGGGAACCAGTGGGATTCTTGGCGGGCACCAGGTGTGCCAAGTCCCCCTGTGGCATGCACTCGGGAACCCTGGTGCCAGGGGTGAGGCTCGTTTGTCTGCAAGTCACAGGTGAGCAGCGTGCCACCAGCCCCAGCAGTGACACAGAGTCCCCTTCTTCGCAGCCCCGACCTGTGCTTGCCCTGGAACACGCGTGCTTCTCTGCACCTTCCTGGGCTGTCCTCTCCTTAGGCTCAGCCTTACTCTCAGCTCCAATAGCTTTGTGACCCCCGCATCAGGGTCTCCAGCCAGGCCTGCCTCCCGGGGGCCAGAGCCACAGTCACCTCAATGTCCCCACACCCTCAAACACCAGCTGTCCAACACACAACTCATCATCCCACCCAGAATGTGTCCCTCCTCCAGGTGCCCTGCCCCAGAGAATGGACCACCGTCCGGCTACACCCAGGAGCCGAACTGAAGCAGCATCTCGACTCCTCCCGCGCATGTGCACTCGATTCTGTCTTGTCCAGTTCCACTTCCTAAGTCTCCTTGTCACCTGTGCCCTGTTCTCCACCTGGGGGGCCCTCACCCCAATTCATGCCACCACTGTCCCCAGTCTGGATTGCTCTGCAGTTCTACTCACCTTCCCAACTCCAGCATCACATGTTCCAAACCGATGTCGGCAGCAGAGCTGGTCGGGCCGCTCTGATGTTCACAGTCCGGCGGTGGCCTCGAGTTGGCCTCAGGGTCAGCGTGAAGCCCTCAGCCTGACACACATGAGTCTCTACGCCTGTCCTCCCCCTTGAGCTCCCTCCCCAACTTGTTCCCTGAATTCCGTTTCTTCTTGTCTCCAGGACTTCATAGATGATGTTCCTTCTACCCCATCCTATTCCTTCTCATCTCTTCAGGTTAACCTTGGACTCTGGCTCCTTTCGAGTGTCCTCTCTGACCCCTATCTCACCCCAAGTCTAAGGGCAAAGAAGCTCGCTGAGGGCAGCGACCGCGCCTCGTTCACTGTACTCTCAGCGCCCAGCACATGGTGTATGGTCCACAAGTGTCTGTGCGGTGGTGACCGCTTGACCGGCTGGCCCTTCCCAAGGGCTGAGCTGCGCCAGACTCCTGGGGTGCCGAGGCTCACACCCTTTCTGCCTGCTTTGAAGTGGGGCATGTCATTTAAACTAGACACGGGGGCCGTCTGCTACCTCAAACTCTGCCCTGCAGACAGACAGACGGGCAGGTGGGCAGGCAGAGCAGACAGCAGACTGGGTGTTCCCGCAGCCCTTTCACTCACTCATCCTTCTGTTCATTATTGCTCATCTTGTCTACAAACAAATTGGAAACGAGCTATTCAAGCATATGAACATATATATCTATTCAAGAGATAAACTGGAGGGCTTCCCTGGTGGCGCAGTGGTTGAGAGTCCGCCTGCCGATGCAGGGGATACGGGTTCATGCCCCGGTCCGGGAGGATCCCACATGCCACGGAGCGGCTGGGCCCATGAGCCATGGCCGCTGAGCCTGGGCGTCCAGAGCCTGTGCTCCGCAATGGGAGAGGCCACAACAGTGAGAGGCCCGCGTACCGCAAAAAAAAAACGCAAAAAAAAAAGAGATAACGTGGGGAAAGTGATTCATTTTTCAAAACTTTTCACTGTAGGATTTCTTCATGAAAATGAGTCAAATACAGATAATAACGATGCTGGTGGGGCGGTGGGTGGGAAGCCAAGGCCCACAGGGACACCGTGCTGCCCCTCCTGTAGGAAACACGGTGCACATTACCCCATCGCGCATCTGATGCCGCTAAGCCCAGCTTCATCTGTTCTCTGTCAGTGGGGCTCTCATGGACAGAGCACAGAATACCTGCGGCGATTTGCACTTTTCTCCTGGCCCTGTTTCCAGACTGAGCTTTTCTCTTTCTGGGCCACTGTGGCAGGTGATACAACCTCCATTTCTCACCCCATGGACAGCTGAATCTCTGATGAGAGGGTCTATTATGTCCGGCGCACCTCTACCCCAAGGCTTCTCTGAGGGAAACTGGCCCCTTGACCTCACTGCTCTGGCCCCAGCTGTGGACCCAAAGGCAGCCATCAGAGGCAGGCCAGGGGCCCCGTCACCTACCAGGCAGTGGCTCCCCGAAGACCCTGAAGAGAGGCTCGGAAAGGGGAAGCTGAGGGAGCAGGTCCGTGGGCGCACCGTGGGAGCACAGGGCTGCAGCGTCCTAGTCACTAAGCGGCTCCAGAGCCTCCACAGGGCCCAGAACACAGGCCCAGCCCAGTAGATAATGTTGAATGAATGAACGAACAATTGAATGAATGACTGAATGGAAAGTCCACGAGGGAGCCAGGAGAGTAGTTTTGTGATGGAGTCTGACTAGCAGCAGAAGCAGAGCAGACAGGCCTGTCTTTTTAGTTGCTAAATATTAGAGCAACACAAACATTCACACTGATTAAATGTCACTATGGGCCAGGGGAGCTAAGTGGGGTTCTTTTTGGTTTTTTTTTGTGGTACGCGGGCCTCTCACTGCTGTGGCCCCTCCCGTTGCGAGCACAGGCTCCAGGCGCAAATGCTCAGCGGCCATGGCTCACGGGCCTAGCTGCTCCGCGGTATGTGGGATCTTCCCGGACCGGGGCACAAGCCCGTGTCCCCTGCATCGGCAGGCGGACTCTCAACCACTGTGCCTCCAGGGAAGCCCGGAGCTAAGTGTTTTACAGGTAGTTGCAAAGAGCTGGGACATTGGTTGATCAGAGTTCCAGGGCGGTGCAGGTGGGGCAAGGGGCTGGATTTTTGGGAAAATTCAGTCAAGCAGAAGCCCCACCTCCTCTTGCCAGAGGGCCGGAAGCAGCATGGGCAGCGGGTGTCATTAGGGGCAGAGGAAAGGAGGAGTGGGTACCTGGAGATTCGGGTCCGCACGCACAGCGGGGGAGAGGGTTTTTGCAGCTCTCTGAGACGGAAACTTTGGGCAACAAAGACCTTCTCCTTGACCAAACTTCAGGCTCCTCTGAGCCCTCTTCTCAGCTAGGCCTTTGACCTTGGTCCCTGCCCAGTCTTTGGCCTGCCCAGCCCAGTCTTACCAAGAATCCTGCTAAGTTAGTTTAGAGAGGATTCCCACCCTTGATATCTGATCACCCTTGGTCTCTGATCAAGTTCCTCATCCCCGCCCTTTGATGTCTAAGCCTTTGGCCTGCTTTCAGCAAGAATCCCCCTACCCTTGTCGGCCCCTCCCTACTCCGTGGCTATCGACCCCGGTGTCTGCTGTATTCAGGGTTGAGCCTGAACTCTCTCCCCGTTGCGTCAGTCTTGAGCCCTGTTGCCACAGTCTTGAATAAAGTCCTCCTTACTGTTTTAACAAGTGTCAGAACAACATTTCCTTAGTGAGCGAGAAGAAAGACACAGAGTTCTCAGAAGCTTTTGTTGGGAGGGCCCTGTAGGCCGTTTTACAGAAAAGCCACTGGAAGGCCTCAGGGGTCAGGCTGATGCTTCTTTGGATCACCGCCCCTCGTTCCACAGAGGGGTCTGATTTACCTTGTTTTCTGGACTCTCCTAACCTCTCTCCGAGCATCCCTGGGGCCGTGAGCACCGCTGCGTTGTTTCCCCGTCATTCTCCCCAATGAAGGAGAACCAAATAATTTCAGGAGTGTCTGAACCGGGACACTCTGGGCACTCCTAAGAGTGAAACGGGCGCTGTCACTGATAACGCTGGGACATCAGACCCAAACCTCTGGATGGCCCAGGACACTCGGGCGCGGGGGACGCGCTCAGCTCCGACGGGGCCTCCAGCAGCGACGAGCCCGCGCAGGACTCTCAGCCCCGAGTCTCCGCCCAGAGTTCCAGAAAGGCCTGGAAACGCGCGGCCGCTTGCGGCCGAGCGCGGTGGCCACTAGGCGGCGGGCCAGGGCCCGGAACGCGGCGACGCCGGCGCCCGCGGGTCTCGTGACCGCGCGCCCTGCCCGGAGCTTCGCCGTCATGCAGTCCCCGGCGGTGCTCGTCACCTCCAGGTGAGCCAGACCCCGCGCCCGGCGCTGCGTCTCGGGCAACGTGGAGTCGGGTGCCCGGGAGCCGCGGCCCGGTGCGCCCGGGGCGGAGGAGCCGGCGGAGGCGGCCGGTCCCGACGATCCCGCCCGCCCCGCGGCGTCCCCAGCGCGCCGGCCGTTGACCTGGGCTCGGCCCCTCCACCACCCAGCGGGAGAGGCGGGCGGCGGCGAGTCCCTCCCCCCCCCCCCCCCCCCCCCCGGTTTTACAGATGGGGAAACTGAGGTCCCTAGAGGGTAACGAACTCACCCAAAACCCAGTGGAAGGCCTGGACTGGCTGGTCCCGGCCAGCAGGCAAAGGGAGGGCTCTCCTCCCCGCTTTCCTGTCCACCTGTCTTCCTTTCTCTTCGAAGATCTAGTTATGCATCCTGTCCGCGCTCACCGTGCGCCAGGCCCCGGGCACGGCACTGGGGACGGGGTGAATCCGGCAAGGCTCGGCCCTGCAGGGGAAACGGGGATGAACGCAGACCCTCGGGAGACAGATGCTGAATGGGGGGTAGTGGGTTCAGGTTGCCATGGGAACACAGGGCAGGAGGTAACCCCGGCTTCTGAGGGGGTGCATGAGGCCCCCCTCCTGCAGGAGGAGTGGAGGTTAATGAGGTGAAGGGAGAGAAGAGGGGGCAGCTGCTCAAACAGGTAGCTCAGGAAAAGTGCAGTTACCGCCAAGGCCTGCGGAGGGTCCCTGGAGGCAGAGGATGCAGGGTGACCCACCCCACCCTGACCCAGGCCTGGGGGACCCAGTGCAAGACGGATCCTGGAAAGGCTGGGATGGTCATGGTTTTATTCTTTCCCCCTTTCTAACATCTGGCAAGTGACTCACTTCAAGTATTTTCATACACTCCGCCCTTGTTCCCCCTACCCAGAATCTTGGGCTAAGACATCAATCTCTTACATAAATGAATGTTATTTTTCCAGCAGTAATCTGAACATCCCTGTGGCTTCAGGTCTAGAAAAGTATGTGTGATTCTTTAAGTGAACCCTGATATCAGAACCTGCTCGGCCTCTGCATGGTTGCTGGTCGTGTCCTCGCTGGCAGAAGAGGTTTCCCCAGGGCCGCATGAATCACCTCCTCTCCCTGAGCCTCAGTGTCATTTCCTGCAAAAAGGAGCTTTGAGGTTGGCAGGTGTGAGCAGGGCCGCCAGCAGCAGACCAGTGGGGGTGTGACCTTGGTGCTGGGAGCCTGGGAAGGGCGTGGGTGGCTTCCCTCACTGCCACACCTGGGCAGGGCTCCTTAACAGATGCAGGTGCTGGTGGTGAAGGCCAGGAGAGTGGTTCTAGGATACAGTAGTGAACAACACGAAGTCCCTCTCGTGAGCTTTGCTGGGGCCGACGGACAATAGGTAAATATATGGTGTGTCAGGGATGATAAATGGTATGAAGGAAAATAAAGTGGTAGGGAAATAGGGTGCTAGGAGGAGTGAATGCTGTTTTATATGGTGTGGCCCAGGAATGTCTTTCTGACAGAGAGTGGCAGTTGGGCAGACTCCTGACAAACGCAAGAGAAATCTTGAGAAAGAGTGTACCAGGCAGAGGGGACAGCAGGAGCCAATGTCCTGGGGCAGAGAGGTGCTTGGGCACCAGCGAGGAGGCCAGGGTGGCTGGAGTGCCGTGAGCTGCAGAGAGCATTAGGTGATGTGGTGCGGAGCTGGGGGCTTGGAGGCAGGGGACAGTCAGGACAGGCCTCCCAGGCTGAGGTGAGGCTCTGGGCGAGGTGGGACCTGGCTTGGGTTTCACAAAGGTCATTTGGCCGCTGTGTTGAGCAGAAGGTAGGTGAGCAGGGTGCAGCAAGGGGACCATTCTGGCAGTGATCCACGTGAGAGCTGATGGTGGCAGAGGGGGTGCGAAATGTTTGGGCTCTGGCTGTATTTTGACGGTACAGCTTTCAGGGTTTGCTGATGATTAGATGTGGGTCGCGAGAACAGGAAAGAGGAGTCAAGATTGACTGCAAGACTTACCCTGAGTTCCTGAAAGAGGGAGGTTGCAATGGACCGAGTCGGGAGACTATGGATGGAGCAGGTTTAGGAAGGTGAGAATCACCATTTGTCTGGACACGTTCATGAAGAAGCTTGTTGACAGCCAAGCGGAGATGTCAGGCAGGCAGCTGGGAGAAGGAGTGTGGCCTTGAGGGGAGAGTCCGGAGCAGAAAGAGGAACGGAGGACCATCCAGGGAAGCAGAGCAGGAGTGGCCAGGGAGGGCGGAGAAGGGAGAGAGGGTGGGGGTCCCGGGAGCAATGAAGACAGAGCTTCAAGGAGCAGAGAGGGACTGTCAGGTGCCGCTGGAGTAAGAGGAGAGGGAGAATTAACCTTAGGGTTTAACCACGTAGACCAGTATCAGCATCACATGACAGCTGTTGGAAATGCAGATTCCCAGGCCCTGCCGCCAACCTGCTGGATCAGAATGTGCACATTGACAAGCTCTCCAGGCAGCTTGGATGCACTTTACAGTTTGAGAAGTTTGGTCTGGGGCATAGGTGGACAAGCTACACCCATGCGCCCACCACTTGCTTTTGTAAGTCCTGCCCACCACTTCACTTTTGTGATAAAGTTTATGTCTGTCTTCCGCTGCTTTCGCTCTACAGTGGCTGCGTTGAGTAGTTGTAATGGAGACCCTGTGGCCTGCAAAGCCTAAAGTATTTACTCTCTGGCCCTTTACAGGAAAAGTTCCCTTGGGGGCCTCGGGGAGTGGGAGCGAGCGTGGGTTAGGGTCAGGTGACTGTTAACATGAAGTTGATTCAGCACCCTGGGTCTGCCACTCTCACAAGCTCCCAGGTGATGCTGATGCTGCAGGGGCCACACCTGGAGAACCCCAGGTCGAGACCAAGGTGGGGTTGCCAGGCCCCACGCTGGAGCTTGCAGGTTGCGGCAGTGAATTTCAGGTGGGACCAGTCAGCACGTCTGTGCGTTTATCCCAGTGACGTGCAGCTGCCGGACACAGGTGCGAGGGACGCGCAGAACTGGAGGGTTGAGGGGCGAGGGCAGGGGAGCTGAGGCCAAGGGTGTGATCCCAGCAGTGGGGCGGCGCGACAGGACGGTGGGGGAGGGGACAGTGGAAAGGGGGAGGGGTCACGGAGGCAGGTCCTGGAGGAGCAAGCTGGACTGATGGGAGGCGCCAGTCAGCGGGGAGGGGGGCGGCAGCCTGGAGTGAACCCTGGCTCCACCTCTGACCCGCTGAGCCCAAGCACAGGTGACTCCCCTTTTGTGTCTGTTTCTCTGACTTTAAGTGGGTCTGAGCGGTAGTGACCCTCGGTAGGGCTGAGGGAGGCAGGAGTGTCTCAGGCAGGCAGGTGCTTAGAACAGAGCCTGCGGTAGCGCGGCCGCTTCAACTTCAGTCCCCTCCGCTCTCCTGCACTCCTAACAGTAACACGGCGCGCAGCGCCAGCGGGTCTGTACCTGGTACAGGGCCAGGGACGCTCATTTGGTTACTGGCAAAAGGAATAGAGGGCTGATTGGTGTTTTTCCGTCTCGCCCATATGTTGGGTTCATTCAACACCTGCCTGAAGGCAGGTTCGCCTGGGCCTTTCTAAGTGATTCGTGCTCATTTTCGCATACCTTACACCCTGTGGATATGTTTGTGTGTGTAAGGGTTTGAATGCTTAGTAGTATGTGGCTACGTGGTGGGCTGTCCTCCCAGTTGGTGACAAATGGCATCATGGTGACAGTGCACATGCTTGGTGTGGAAAGGGGAGGAGTCTGTGTGGAAGGAGTGCTGGGGGCAGGGTGTCATCTGATGGATTGGGATGGAGTTGCAGAGAGGGAAAGGGCCTTGCCCCAGACACAGTCTTAGCGCCAGTAGCCCCACCCCTTGGGCCCTCCCCTTTCCTATCTTCTGAAAGTCCCACCTGGCACATAGTAGGTCTCGACCCTGCTAACTGTATGCTGGGCATATCCTGTCATAGGTGCTTGTGTGATGTATGTTTGTGTGCGTGGGTCTCCATTATACCCTTACATAGAATGAGGAATACATTTAACCTTTTTTCTCACCTCGGAGGAAACATTTCATAACTTCTTTGCTCATCGTGTGATTCAGTACATTTGTATAGCATTTAAAAATCCTCCAAGACTGTAATGTTTTGCCGAGTATCCTCTCAAAGCCTCATAGAGCAGGCCTTATCAGTGCCTTGCAGAGGCCCCAGGGCAAATGATATGGCCTGGTATCCAGTGCCCTTTCCATCTTCCCCTAGCTGGGCAGGTTCTGTAGCGGCTCTGCTGCTCTCTGGTTAGCTGAAGAGATGCGTCTCTCTCTCCGGATTCCTGGTGGGGTTTCATTCCTGCACTGTGTGCCCAAAGCCAGGCACTTCCCTTGGTTTGAAAGAACCCCTGGAGCGCCATCCCCACAAATCCCGCAGGAGCTCTTGTGCTGGGTTTGTGTCAGACACCTATAGCTGTTTGTGATTTTCCATGAGTCCCACCTTCTCTGCTGTCACCTGTTTTCCTGCTGGTGAGAGCCCATTGTTCCTGAGTGACCCAAAGGCAGGGCCCAGGCTTGGGGCCTGGGAAGCCAGGCTTTATGAGGGGCTGGGCTGCGGTGGGGTGGGTAGCCGGGACCACAGAGAACGGCCAGTGGAGCAGCCTTGCACCCAGGCCTGCTGGGCCACCTGAGGTCTGGCCTGCATTTCACTCAAGAAGCCTGCTGACTTGAACCTGAGCTTCTTTTGCCTTCTTTCCCTTTGGCAGGCGAGTTCAGAATGTCCACACAGGCCTGGACCTAACCGTGCCCCAGCACCAGGAGGTACGGGGCAAGATGATGTCAGGGCACGTGGAGTACCAGATCCTGGTGGTAACCCGTCTGGCTGCATTCAAGTCGGCCAAGCACAGGCCTGAGGATGTCGTCCAGTTCTTGGTGAGCTGGGGGCTCCGCCAGGATGCTCCCGAGGGTGCCCAGGGTCCGGGGTTCCAGCTGGGCAGACACACCTGCCACCAGGGTGCGAGTAGCATCGGGGTGCGAGCAGTGCTCTGGCCAGCGCTCACTCGGCCTGACGGTGCCAGAGCGTTTTGGCGGTAAGGACACCGGTGAACCAGATGCTTACAGTCTGTGGGGAGACAGACCTGTAAAGAGACAGGAGTCCAAGGGGAGGGGAGGACTGTGGTAGTGTAGAGAAGGGGCACCTAACCCATCCTAGGGAAAGGGTTCTGGAAGATGTCTCGGAAGAGGTTAGGGCTGAGCTGGGTTTTGAAGAGCAGGTGGAGACATCAGCATTACTGCGGATGAGACCCTCCCTTTCTCACTCCCCTTCAGTCTACAGCCAGTGAAACATCCCAAACAGTCTCGCACATCTGTCCATCTAGAGGTGGGCGGACTGGAACATACAACGGAGGCGGAACTGAGGTGGTGTGTGCAGTCCCAGATCCCCGGCCCCGGAGACCGAGCCCGCGGCCCCAGAGAACCCAGCCGCATCAGGGAGGCGGCACGCACAACGCCAGCCTCCGGGCCTCAGCCGCGCCTGCAGCCACAGGGGACTGGGCAGCAGGGCCTGCAACACCGTCCCTTCAGTTGTAGAGCTGCCCACAAGTCTGGCCCCCTCTCCCCGACCCACAGCGGCGGCATCCCTAAACCTGACAACCCCAGACACGGCAGAGGTGCCAAGACCCCAGCTTCACCCCGTGCAGTGGAAGCAGACCTGTGACTCAAGATTCTGGACACAGCAGAAGTGCCCACCACCCCGCTGACCCAGGCAGCAACAACAGTGACAGCAGCAACCATGGAGGCACAAGCGGTGACAGTGCGGGCACCAGGCAACACCTCTGACGAGGGCAGTGGAGGCTGGAAAGTGCCAATCCTCTAATATAACCAGAGGCAGCTCAGGTAAGAGAAACCAAAAACTTGTGCTGTAGCGCACCTAAGGGAAAAGAAAAGAAAACAAAAGCCTCTAACCTGTTGAATAGTTGGAATGAAGTTTAAAAAAAAAAAAAAAGCTTTACCTAAAGAAGAAAGGTGTTTGCTGCTTCCTGTGTACCAGCAGAGGAACAACTCATCAGGCACCGTAAAGAACCACAGTAACACTGTATCACAAAAATAAAATGGTGATTCTCCAGAAACCAGATTTAAAGTCACAGTACAGTGCAATCTGATAGAGAATTCGAAACAACTGTCAAGAGGAAGCTCAACGGGCTATAAGAAAACTCAGAAAGGCGGTTCAGTGAATGTCAGGGTTGAAATTAATGAACAGAAGAAATACTTTACCAAAGAGACTGGAACTCTGAAAAAGAACCAAACAGAAATTCTAGATCTGAAGAACCTAGTAAGCAAGATGAAGAGTGCATCAGAAAGGATTGGAAATAGAGCAGACCATATGGAAGAGAGAATTAGCCAGTTCAAAGATAGAAATCTAGAAATCATACAGTTAGAAGAGGAGAGAAAATTAAGATCCAAAAAAAAAAAAAAAGAGAGAGAAAATTCTACGAGAATTATCGAAGTCTTTTAGGAAGGGCAACATTAGGCTAATGGGTGTCCCAGAAGCAGGAGAGAGAGATAGAGATAGAGATAGATTCAACACCCATTTATAAAACTTTCAGTAAAATGAGTATAGAAGGAATGTACCTCAGCATTAATAAAGGCCATATATGGCAAACCTACAGCTATCCCTGTAGGGTCAAGAATAAGACAAGAATTCTCACTCTAACCACTCTTTTTTTTTTTTTCCTGCCCCTTCTTTTCCCTTCCTCCCTCCAGCCCACCACGCTCCACTCACTTTCCAGTCTTATTCAACATAGTATTGGAAGTCCTAGCCACAGCAGTTAGGGAAGAAAAAGAAATAAAAGGCATGCAAATTGGAAAAGAAAAAAGTAAAGCTTTCACTGTTTGTGAATGACATGATTTTATATATAGAAAACCCTAAAGATGCCACCAAAAACTATTAGAAATAATAAATGAATACAGTAAAGTTGCAGGGCACAAAATCAACACACAAAAATCTGTTGTGGACTTCCCTTGTGGCGCAGTGGTTAAGAATCCGCCTGCCAATGCAGGGGACACGGGTTCAAGCCCTGGTCTGGGAAGATCCCACATGCCGCAGAGCAACTAAGCCCGTGAGCCACAACTACTGAGCCTGTACTCTAGAGCCCACGAGCCACAACTACTGAGCCTGTGAGCCACAACTGCTGAGCCCGTGAGCCACAACTGCTGAGCCTGTGTGCCACAACTACTGAAGCCCACGTGCCTAGAGCCCATGCCCTGCAACAAGAGAAGCCACCACAGTGAGAAGCCCATGCACTGCAACGAAGAGTAGCCCCCGTTCACCGCAACTAGAGAAAGCCCACGTGCAGCAACGAAGACCCAACGCAGCCAAAAATAAATAGATAAATAAATTTATTTTTAAAAAAAGTCAGTTGTGTTTCTGTGTGCTGACAATGAGTGAGCAGAAAGAGAGTTAAGAAAACAATCCCATTTACAGCCACCACAGCAACAACAAATGCCCAGGAATAAATTTAACCAAGTACACTGAAAACTATAAGACATTGTTGAAAGAAATTGAAGAAGACACAAACAAATGGAAAGATATTCCATGCTCATGGATTGGGAAAATTAACATTGTTAAAATGTCCATATTACCTAAAGCAATCAACAGATTCAATGCAATCTCTACCAAAATCCCAAGGACATTTTTCACAGAAATAGAACCAAAAAATCTAAAATTTATATGGAACCACAAAAGACCCTGAATAGTCCAAGAAATCTTTTTCCTTGGGAAAAAAGAACAAAGCTGGAGGTATCACACTCCCTGATTTCAAACTGTATTACAAAGCTGTAGTAATCAAAACATCATGGTGTTGACAGAAAAACAAATACATAGATCAATGGAATAGAATTGAGAGCCCAGAAATAAATCCATACAAATGGACAATTAATTTATGACAAAAGGAGCAGAGAACATACAATGAAGAAAGGATAGTCCCTTCAATAGATGGTTTTGGGTAAACTGAACAGCCACATGCAGAAAATGAAAGTAGACCGCTATCTCACACCATACATAAAAATCAACTCAAAATGAATTAAAGACTTGAATGTAAGACCCAAACCATAAACTCTCAGAAGAAAACATAGGCAGGATTAGCTTTGACACCAGTCTTAGCAATATCTTTCTGTATATGTCTCCTCAGGCACGGAAAACAAAAAGCAAAACTAATCAAATGGGACTACAGCAAACTAAAAAGCTTCTTCACAGCAAAGAGAGCCATCAGCAAAGCAAAATAACAAGCTTCCGAATGGGAGAAGATAAAACTCATATATCCGATATTACGCATTTTAATAGTATCCAAAATATGTAAAGGACTCATAGAATTCAACAACAAAAACCCAAACAATCCAAGTTAAAAATGGGCAGAGGAGCTGAATAGACATTTTTACAAAGAAGACATACAGATGGCCAATAGGCACATGAAAAGATGCTCAACATCACTAATTATTAGGGAAATGCCAGAGTTAGCTATCGCTTCACTCCTGTTAGAATGGCAATTATCAAAAAGGTAAGAAATGACAAATGTTGATGAGGGTGTGGAGAAAAGGGAATCCCCTCCAACACTGTTCATGGGAATGTAAATTGGTGCAGCCACTATGGAAAATAGTATGGAGAGTCCTTAAAAAATTAAAAATAGGGAATTCCCTGGCGGCCCAGTGGTTAGGACTGCACGCTTTCACTGCCAAGGGCCCGGGTTCAATCCCTGGTTGGGGAACTAAGGTCCCACAAGCCGCATGGCGTGGCTAAAAAATAATAAATAAATAAAAATAGAGCTGCCAGATCATCCAGCAATTTCACTTCTGGGTATTTATCCAAAGATACAAAAGCAATAATTTGAAAAGATACATGCACTCCTATGTTCACGGCAGCACTGTTTACAATAGCCAAGACATGGAAACAACCTAAGTGCCCATCAGTAGATGAACGGATAAAGAAGTTGTGGTCCTTATATACAATGGAATACTTGATGAAATCTTGCCATTTGCAGCAACACAGATGGACCTTGAGGGTATCCTATCAAGTCAGACAGAGAAAGACAAATACCGTATGATTTCACTCATGTGTGGAATATAAAAAATAAAAAAACAGAACGTGAACAAACCAAACAAAACCACGTAGATACAGAGAACAGAGTAGCGGTTGCCAGAGGGAAAGGGGCAGAGGGGAGGGTGAAATGGGTAGAGGGGATGAACTGTATGGTGATGGATAGAAACTAAACCTTTGGAGGTAAGCACACCATAGCATATACAGAAGTAGAAATGTAATGTTGTACACATGCAACTTGTATAATGTTATAAATCAGTGTCACTGCAATAGAAAAAAACAATTTAATGAGCAGACGGAGCTAAGAACAGCAGAAGGGGAGAAGGGTGCCCCAGGCACCCCACAGCCTGAGCAAAGGCACAGAGGCTAGAAACAGGGTATCATGTGGGGAGCTGTGAGCGGCTGAGTATCGTCCTGGATGAAGTGGGAGAAGAGGAGGGTGATAGCAGGCAGCATCCAGGTCATAGAGGGCGTGCAGGGGGCCCGACCTGTCTGGCAGTCAAGCAGGAGCTTTAAGGAGTGGAATGACATGGTCCTGTTGTCTCTCACTGCCTGCCTGGTGGAGAGTGGAGTTGGATTGGAAGGAACAGGGCAGAGGACAGGGAGCTCAGTGAGGAGGCTGGTAGAGAAACGCCTGGGGCCGGGGGGCAGGCCAGCGGTGGGTGTACAGGAGGGAGGGAGAGCGTTGAAAGGATTTCCAAGGTGACATGCACATAATTAACTGGCTGATTGTTTCTACCCACTGAGATAAAGGGCTCCAGCGGAGGGAGAGGCAGGTGGAAGGAGGACGTTTCCAGTGTGAAGTGTTTGCCTGATGGATACATGAGGTTGGAACTCGGGGCCTCGGGGCGGGGTCGGGCCCAAGGGGCTGCTTTGGGAGGCATCAGCTTGCAGTGATGCTGAAAGGCTGGGAGCAGATGAAGTTGCCCAGAGAGTGGATGTGGGCGTGGAGGTTCTGGCTGAGGAGGAAAGCCTGGGGACGCTAGCACCTCGGGACAGTCAGGGAGAAGAAGCCGAGGCCGAGGGAAGAGAGGAGGCTCAGGGGCTTGAGAATTTCAGGAGGGGGCAAGACCACAAACTCACCCATTTAGTATTTACCTTTGGCTTCTTGTGAAAAGGTCTGGAGACGTGCCCAGGAGAGATGGGCCACGGGATTGTGAGAGAAAGTTAAAATGAGCAAGGGTCCTGTGGGTCAGAACAGAGCAACCGGCTGGTTTGTTCTGCGTCTCCTGGCAGCCAAGACAGAAAGGCAAGGAGCGAGTTACCCAGGCCTGGGGACCTATCAGAAGAGACACAAGATTCTTTTTTTCTTTGTGTTTAAATTTCTGTTATAATTTCTAATGTGGGAAGTAGCAATAACTACAGCTTGCATAAACAAAAGTTCTTTGGGGTCCTCAATAAATTTTTTTTTTTTTTTTTTTTTT